AGGTTAAAACAAATAAAATGTGATGCCCAGTGGAGGGTCATGAAGAAGGGGTGGTGGAATGAAGGGTTAGAAAGGGAGGAGACATAGAGAAAGTGTTCAGAAAAGAGAGGAACTGTCTGTCATTCAGTATCAGTCTTTCAAAGATACAGTCAGAAACTGGACATGAGCTCCTATGTCAAACAAGCCAAGTTGGAATGGCAGGTATAATATGACCCTTCCTAACACCATTAGCTGTCCCCTAAGGTTATTTTTTACTGGGTGTGGTGAGCCATTGCACAGAGGTGGCAATTGTCTCTCCACCCCACCCCAAACATCCATCTCCCTCTCCCTCTCCCTCTCTCTCTCTCTCTCCCTCCCTCTCCCTCTCTCTCTCTCCCATTCTCTTCCTATAAGGTCTGCAAGGCAGCAGAGTCCTGATTCTCACTCCTGATTCTCTTACCGCTGGCAATGTGGGCTGGGGTTGATGTTCAAACTATCTGGAGAGGCAAAGGTTGCTGTCGACAACATCATAGTCCAGAAAGCATGAGCTCCACCTTAACATCAGCCATTCATTGCACAGACACTGCACCCCCCCCCCAAGTGGTTGGGTCCACAGATTCACTCTGTCCTGAAGGACAAACACAGACATGATGGGAGTAATTATGTTTATTTCAGACTCCCCACCTCTGCATCCTGACTGGCTGCCTTTTCTTTTTTCACAACAGGTTGTGAGGCTGTTTTTAAAGATTTCCATATAGATATTCATAGATACTCTTCTCCAAACTATATATTTTGGGGCATGTGTTTTACATTGACTAAAGAGCTTTGTGTACATTTCCCCAGATCATGCATTTGTATGTCTGCATTTTAAAAATGTGTGCATGGTTTTGTATGTACTTTAGCTGCACTGTAAGCCTTGCAGATGCATACTTGTAAGGTGTGTGCATGTTTGCCCTGGATAAGGTGAAGAACCAGAGAGAGAGACCTTGCAGATGCATACTTGTAAGATGCGTGCATGTTTGCCCTGGATAAAGTGAAGAACCAGAGAGAAAGAGTTAGGACACAAAGATGGAGACCAACAGAACCAGAGGAACTATGGGACTTTGCATTTCCGCTATAAGCTTTCATTGTGAGAAATTCAGCTCTTGAACTGAACATTTTGAACTATGCTTTCACTAAGTTGATAAAAAAAAATCTGCTGCTAACTGAAGGAGTAGAGCAAAGGGGATTAAGAAGACCCTGGTACGAGGATCCTGCTGAGCAAGCAGATTCCATACCTGTCCACTAAGTGATGGAAGACACATTAAACATTCCATACTACACAATAAGTGATAAGGACCATATATCTCGGGGGAAACAAAGAAACATCTAATACCCATGCCCAGCTAGCTACCTGCCTAAAAAGAATATAAAAAGAGGGGTCTGGGCAACCATAATTTGTTTGCTATGACCAAAAGGCTTTTGGAACTAACTGCTTTCTTTGGAAAATGGACAATGCAAATAAAGAATTCTTCTCTCTTTGGTGAGTATGTATGTGGTGTGAATGTGCTGAATGCATGAAACCCCTTTATTTAGAATTGTAATCAATAAGTAATAAAGTATATTCATTTTGCATTTATTAATGTGTCTTGTGAGGTCATTTGTTGTTTAATGTTGTTCTTCTTGGGATACAAAAGATCCAGGAGTCAACGTTTTGTGACATATTTCTATTTCTCAAAAAAAAGGCAAGATTTGCAAAATGGATATTTTCGTTCTTACTAAAATTCTTTGCAATTGCTACTTTCACAGGATGTTGAATGTTAGAACGACCTGCATGTTTAATACTGCCCCTGATATGGCAAGGTTTTCTAAGATGTTACTATGGATTTGAGGGTGGATAGGTTTTGCATGGAAACTGGGGAGACTTCAGGACACCCTCTGATCAGGACCCTAGGGTCTAAGAAATGCTCCATGGGCATAATGGTTTGCCTGAAGCATTTTCCAACTTAGGCACTGGTGCTAACTGGAGTTTGTAAAAGTTACTGTTTGGCAGAAATTCATTAACATTAAATTGTTGACTTTTCTGGGAACTATACTTTGAGGTATGTTGATTTGTTCATAATAAAAGACAAAGAACATTTTATGAAATCTAGCCATTGGTTAGTTTGCTAAAGCATTGCATTAAAAATATGGTGTGTCTTTTTAAAGTAATAAAATGGCCAATTTTAATTTTAATTTTTAAAAAAGTTAATTGTTACAAAAATGATACTATTGGTGTTTAATGGCTAAAATAACTATTTGGTTTCCAGAAGTGCCGTCCGTCCGTCCATCCGTCCGTCCATCCCCTCCCTTCCTTCCTTGCAGAAGGAGTGGGAGTTTGTACAAATGGCACGGGGCTCACAGTCCGCATGATGCCCACCTTTGGATTAAACAACTAATGTCCTTAATGCAACATTTACTCATTTGACTGCAAGCCACTTATTAGATACTGTCAAATGTTTATTGCTCCGTGTCGGATAATGCCTGTTGTTGACATCCACTGCAAATTGGCTGTCAAAATACTAACTGCGTCAAGTCAGATACCATTAAACACAAACATCCTCCTCTCAGGCCCTTGTGTCTATATTCGCCAAAGATAGATGCCGTGCAGGATGATATCTCAGCATGCATGAGGTTTCATCCTATATCTCCTAAATAGAACATACTCCTTTTTCTTTCAGGACTGCGCATTTCCTTTTCACATGCAAATAGACTTGAGATAAAATGGAAGCGGAATACTGGTGGTACCCCTGATGTTGTTGCACTGTCATTCTCACAATCTTTCACCACCAGAAGTGTTGGTGAGGGCTGTGGTTAGAGCACCAGATGAGGATTTATGAGATTAAGTCCTCAATAAACCATGAAATTCACTTGATGAGCTTGGGCCAGTCACTTCTTCTCTGCCTGTGCAGCCTCCTAAGTAGTGCTGCCCAGGTGAGCAGCTTCTCTTTCCCTGAGATTTCAAGGCCAAAATTGAAGACCAAAGGGGTGGGCCCTTGTGATGCCACAAAGAACGAGCAAGAAAATAAGAGCCAAAATCCTATTATTCCTGTCTGCTGCTGCAAGTCAAAGGGCCTAAATCACAATGGCAAATTACTACTAGTTAACACATCATGGCATGTATTTCTCCTCATGAGACACGTCCTGTGACCAGTGCAGGATGAGGAATGCAAGCACTGACTTCTTAACTAGTGTCGATTCATCGTCATGATTTATGCCATTCATCTTACACCAATGTATGCAAGTAATAGGATTCTCTCTCTCCCTCTCCCTCTCCCCCCCTCTCTCTCTCTCTGTGTGTGTGTGAAAAAGAGAGAGATGGAGAATGTGCATTTCTTGCTCTACCTCCTAAACAAATATTATGTGCACAGAATACAGAAGGACACTCTTGCACCAAGTCAGCGGAGAGCAAGGAGAATATGAGCACCCAGACTTTAAAGCTATATCCCAAAGTCAAAATTTCTTCTCCCCAACTGCAGAAAATCCAGTTCTGAGACATGTATCTCTGCCAGGAGACCCAGGGAAGCATAGCTCTTCCGTGGTAATTGAGGCAGAGTTCTGAAACCAGGCACTGCTTTTCCTGTCTTGCTTCAAACAGCACTATAAGTCCAAGGCCATGTGCCTGTTGGCTCTCTCACCCAACCAACCCCCTTGTTCCAAGCTTCCTGGCACATTGATATTGCACCTGTGTGATGCATATACAGTACAAACCTTTTTGCACTGAGCTAGAGACCCTGGCACCACCTGACAATAAAGTTCTGAAAATACAAGTAGTGCGATTTGATACAAAGAAATGGCAGGTGGTGTAACAATAAGCATACCTACACTCCCAGAGCTGGAGATGGTGGTCCACTGCTGATGCCTTGCTACTTGTCTCCCCACCTGGAGACTCAGAGAAGCACATGAATAGCCTGAGACTTCAGCCACACCACCCCCGAGACTCGCCCACCCTCCTCATAGGGCTGCTGTGAAGACAATGTAGGGAGGAGAAGAGCTATGCATGCCACCTTGAGCTCCCTGGAGGAAAGGTGGGATATAAACAAGACAGGACAAAATTCTATTGTTAACCTACTAGTGCAACACAACGGGTTGGTGCATCACTTCAAGTTAAGAAGTTATCACAGACATTTGCTATCTAGTGCTGAGCCATGCAACTTGGCTAGCAACAGTAAAGGGCTATGTTAACTCCTTAATTTATAGCAATCTGCCAATAGGTTTTATGCCAAATAAGTTACTCCAGTGAAAATATACTGTACAATGCGGTTCTGGCCAACAAATAAATGCCAGTTCTGAGATTAAGCAATATGAAAATACCTTCCTCCATCTCTCTTTTTCTTGTGCACCCTGCCCGTTCTCTTAAATACTCTCGTTCTACCACACATACTCAAGCATTTGCACAGCAGTCCTGCTTCTCCTGTCATTTGCTACCTATGTGCACACACCATCGCAACGGCACCTTCCCCGCATACAAAACAGCCAAGACAATCATACTTCATGAATTGTTAATCAAATCAGCTCAGCATATCTAAGTAGGATGTAAGTTCTCTCTCTCTCTCTCTCTCTCTCTCTCTCTCTCTCTCTCTCTGTATGTGTGTGTGTGTGTGTGTAGCCATGCATTTAAACTGAGTGTCTCCTGGGTTTTGAAAGTCAGCCACTGTTTAATCGACTACACTGTCACGCTGGGAGTGTGAAACAGGGAACATCAATAGTGAAAGGCATGAAATACCAAGAGCCGGAAATGAGGTTGTGTGTACACACACAAACACATACACAC